TCTTGAATTAAAGGACAGTTTATTCCTCACAGCCATCATGGTGCTTAGAGTATGAGCAGTGCTGCCTTGGTCCTTCAGGATGATGCGAAAGTGTCCAGAGGATGCCTGCTGTGCAGGGGGTTGCTTTATAGGGAGGAACTCAGAGAGGTCCTTCTCACAGTGTGAACATTTGCCCCAGGGGGAGACACACACTCTCTCTCTTCCAAGATTTCTATGCAAATGCAGTTTGTAACAAAGGGCTTTGCTTGCAAGATGTGCAGAAATGTGAAAGACCCAAGGAAGATTCTGCCCAATTACCACCCCGGACTCAGTATCTTTTGTAGCAAGCATCAAACAACTCAGTTCTCTTCCTCCAGGAATTGAGTAGTCCCACACAGTCATACTGTGGTGGCTTATCTTTACTTGTTCATTTCCCCCCTAAGCTAATAAAAAAGAAAGCAAACAATCCCAAACCATGTGTCAGTCATCACTTGGCTCTCCCGGCCTTTACCTCCAACCACATCAACACTCCCCACCTAGACTTCCCTTTTCATTCTCATCTCTGTTTCTTCCCCTGCTGCTGTACCCCACCATCCAGCTTTGCAGACATATGCCTTTACCAAGGTTTCCCCCAGGACTAGGTGTCTGCATGATCCTCTACCTCTGCTCTTCCTCTCTCACTTGATGCTTCAAGGAGTCTGTGTGAGAATATAGTTCTAGTGTTGCTGTTTTTCATTCTTCTGTTGTGCACTGTATCCTCAAGAATGCATCCCTTCAAGACAAAGGCTTGGCGGGATGGTGGTGGTGGTGGTGGTGGTGGTAGTGGGGGACAGACCAACTTTGCTTGGTCCCAGGATTAATACAGAATCATTTCTCTTTTGTGATATAAAAATGGAATCATAAAAAATGTTCCAAGAATTTTGCAACTGGCAAAAGCCTGTTTATTCTCCTTTTTTCCTATAAATTTTAAGTTCCAATTTTACCACTTTGATAATATATGTTAGAAAAAATGATTAAATTTTTAATTCTGTTATCTAAAACAATCATGAATAAATATGTCTTAGTGCTACACAAAATGAAATCGAAGTGAGTGTAATACTTAGGGCCCTAGAGTAAAAAATCATTCTTTGTTTATTAGGGATGAAACTGCCTTTCTGGAAAGTGTGCCATAATGCTATAAACTTGAAACTTGTAAAGGTCTCCTTAGATACTTATAAAAAAGAAGAAGAGTTTTGATCTCTCTCTCTCTCTCAGAAATAGAAGTTTTTATCTGGTTGTTCAAAAATATTTTTTTTTCAATTCTTCAAATTTAGATTGATGCAGTTAATTTTCTTTAATTTTTCAGTCTGTATGAGTAATTTCCTTATGTTAGTAATGTTTGGGGGATTCGGTGGCTTCTAGTTCTGGCTGGATCCTGTGAGGCACTGCAGTTTTCAGGTAGGAACCCTTCTAGTTTGTATTACAGCCAGCCTCCTGGTGTTCCAAGGAAACACTGTGTTCATGGTAAATAGTGCCCTGTGGACCCCTGTTGTCTGCAGATCTTGTTGAGTCATAGGCTTCAACGTCTCCCAGTGTGAAGGAACATCTTCAGTGCTACATATCTTCCTTATCTTTCTCAATCTGTATGAGTTTAGAAGGCAGTGAAAAGCTTTCCCTCAGACAGTTGAGCTTTATGCTAAATATACCATCTGACTTACTATTTTTTAACACCTAAGATGTAATTTTTATCATAAGAATAGGAACTCAGTGGAATCTCTTTTTCAGTATGTATTAGTGACTAATAGGAATTTTTCTATTAACCCAAAGTTTTAAAATCCAGGCATAATTTTAACCTGTTTACATCTACACATTTAAATTTATTTTTGAAAAGTCAGTAGGAAAATGACTTTTCAGTTCTATAAGTTGAAAAACACATTTTATCTTGCTAGTTCATTGCTTGAAAAACAATAGGCTGGTACAAGGAATTTTCCTCTAAAGAGTAAAAAACATTGAAAATTTAAAACTGCACATGAATGGAGGAGAAACTAATATGCTTTGAGAAACTCTCAGTTTTCTGAAAATGAAAATGTTCATGAAAACTGACCACTGCTGGATTTAGTATTAGTACTTAAAATGAGTTTTCTTTTTTGTAACATTGGCAAATTCTATTTGATTAATTTGCCTCAGTTTAAACTGTTATATTTGTTTTAGTTTTCTTTTACTATTAAAATATATAAAAAGAACCTGTATGTTTCCAGATGTTGAAATTTTTGAAACATAAATACATCTAATGACCCAGGCAATGTTAAATTATTCTTCACAGTTGTATTAGTTCTGTTTGCTTACAGGTTGTTCTGCATTATTAGGCAAAAAACAAAAAGAAAAAGAAAGAAAAAATAGTTGCATTTGGTAAAACAATTTCAAAAAAATCAAAACTGACCTTTAAAAAAATTTTAAACTGTTCTTTCCAGGTTAACTCATCATTTTCCCTGAGAACCACAGGGGCAGAGGATTCTAGTGTTCTCTTTCAAGTTGGTTTTACCCAGAATATCTGCTCCAAACCAACTTGGGATTAGAACATAGTTTTGTTGAGATGTGAATATACCCTTCCCCTTGAAGTAAGATTTGTTTCTGAAAAACAGAAAAGAATCAATTCTTCTTTAGAAACAGTTGGTGTTTAGCCCTTTTAATGAAGCCCTTGTGCTATTTTGACCTGCTTTTGATGTATTAATTTATTTGAATGTTTATTATTTGCATTAATGTGAATGTGTTAGATTCTGAGCTAATTCTTGGTGTGCATACAAGGAATTTGTGATAATATAGGAAAAAAAACCCAAAGAACCAAAAATTATATATGTAGCATCATTATAAAAGTTTAAGATTGGAATTGAAGCCAAATTACTATTAGTATTCTCAATTCCTTTTCATTTTTTGATTCATGATCATTGTATAAATTCTGTAAGTATAAACACACATATTTCTGTCTTTTAAATTCTTTTTTTCTATACAATTGTCCGTTGCAGCATGTGTTGCTAAGATTGAAAAGACTTCATTTAGTTGTAATTAGGTTTTTACCTCAAATCAATGGCTTTTACCATTTAATGATGAAAGTTAAGTGCAATCCATATATATCCATGAGTTGATAAGCTTTTAGCACTATGCTAGAGGAGATTAAAAAAGAATTTAAGATAGTCTCTTTTAGAACTTTATCTGGTGGGGGAGAGTGTGCAAATCATAACACACATTGTTTATAAATCAGTTTAAATGAGGTTGCTGAGTAGAATATGATTAAATGTCAAAATTTGTGCTATGTACTGTTAGGGTTCAAATTAAAGGAGATTCATCCAAATCTGAAGTATCGGGCAAGACCCAGATGGAACTGGAGCTTTAAGTTCATGTTGGATAAATAGGTAGTATCCAAGGGAAATAAAATATATAGAAGAGGGTGAATTTAACTTTAAATAATAACTTTATCTTTACCTGGCTAGTGTGTGTGTGTGTGTGTGTGTGTGTGTGTGTGTGTGTGTTTTATACCTTTATTTTATTTTGTTTTATTTTTATGTGATGCTGGGGATTGAACCAGGTGCTTCACTCATGCTAGGCAAGCGCTCTACCACTGAGCCACAGCCCAGGCCCCTAATGTGTTCTTTGTAAAGGATCATTAAGAATTCAGTTTCTTATAGGAATAGAAATCAACAAAGCACCATACCCGTAAAATTGATAGTCACTGGACCTGAACTGGGTGGGGAATTTTAGTCTGAGGGCCGAAGAGACACTTGAGGTTGGGGAGAAACCAGGCTGAGGTGAACCAGGAGGTTTCTTTGAATATTTAAAAGCCCTTTGCAAACAATGGCTGCCTTTCTTTGTAACTGATGTTATTAAAGGAATTACAGAGTGTATTTTATATTAAGATAATAATCTGTAAATCCCTTGGGCAGGTATCTTTTACCTTTCAGTATACATTTTTTTTACTTAAGTAGAAAACATTTATGATTTGATAACAAGAATTCTGAGCTTTCTAAAAAGACTACTTTTTAAAAGATTTCATTTAAAACAGTCGTTTTTAAAAATTCTTTCAGAACTGAAGACTATAACACAGAACACTCAAAAGCGTTTGCCACATTGGAATGGAGTGTGGGGCATGGGGAGTGGGTCATAAAATGTTTCAATGTACATGTTTGTGCTCCAGCTTTATTTATCTGCCTTGTGAAATAACTATCATCTGATTTTGAGTTGCTTAACTGGAAAACCATTAAGAAAAGCCAGTTTAATCCCTTTACTATTTAAAAAGAATAGTTTCCTTTTGAAACTATAAACAGTTTACTGTTTTCAATATTGAATGCCTACCTAAATGAATATTTAAAGTATTGTAGCATGAATAATTTTAAAAATAGAGAATACATTCCTAGATTCTGAATAGATATAGAACTTAATATACATATCGGTTTTTTAGGGATGAATGTAAAACGGACAAGGATCGAATGTGAGAGTATTTAAATGGTTCTCAAGATTTTCTGGTTCATGTGTTGTGATATTGAACTCTTTAGTCTTAGGCTTTAATTTGTGCCTGGTACTGACCTGATGCTGTGCAGGGACACTCACTGCATCCCTCCATTCAGTCCCTCTAATTATTCCAACTTCCTGGGGAGCTTGCTTAGAAGTGGGCATGAGTGCTTGTTATTAAAATATCGGGTTCCCTGGCTACATGCAACAAGGTAGTTTTTGATAACAGATTTATGTATAGATGAACTGAATAGGAAGCTTCGGTTGTTTGCTGTGATTTTACTTAAATAGGTAGGGGGTATTATGGAAATTATTTGGTTAGACAATGGATTATTAGGCTTTTAATAAATGAAATTGTGGGCAATGCAGTTTCTGAGCCTTTTTGGTGCTTTGTTGTTTTTTTAGTGCACATTCAAAAAGAAATCCAAGTCTGTAACTGATAGGTGAAATAATCAGATTTGTGGTTTTGTGTATATTTGTGGATGACTGTGATTCTTTTTGCTGGGAGCATCTGTTAATGCAGGGATTTGTCTCTTCAGGTTCACGTGAAAATGGCGGATGAGGCCGTCTGTGTTGGCCCAGCTCCCACCAGTAAAAGCTACCTCAACATGGATGCCATCATGGAAGCCATTAAGAAAACCAGGGCCCAAGCTGTGAGTCTGAATGAGCCCATCTACTGCAGCTGTTTCATATGTAGTGAGCAGAAAGCTAGAGTTTGTATTAAAAAAAAATAAGAAAGAATGATTGAAAATGCTGTTGCAGTTAGTTCATGTCACATGAGTTAAATGTGGCCGAATTCGCTACTGGAAATCAAAGGCTTTGTAGCATCTGGCAGTGTTGGTCGCTGATCCTGCAGGTGGCTGCTGGATTCAGCTTTCACACCAGGGAGCAGTTTCAGTTCATTTCCAAATTTGCTAGGAAAAAGAAATCCCAATTAGTTTTGAGTATTAACCCTTTCAGTGTAATAAGAGCATTAAAAAAACCACCAAAACCAAAAAAAGAAAAAAACTGTTATAAACAGAATCCAAAAGACCTTGTTTGAGTTTCATTTTAGTCATTTAAGAATTATGTACACGTAGTTAAATTTCCAGAAATATAAAAAGTATATTTAGTAGTTATTTTGGTTTGTTAATGTCAATAAAATGCCCATAACTTACTAATAAATCTATAATTTTCTGCACCTCAATTTGCCTTGAATGGAGTAGGATCCACAATGAAGTGGATGGTTTCTGACATGAGAAATAGTGGGTTATTTTGTTTTGTTTTTAATATCAGAGAACTAATTACATAAGATGTTAAAAACTATGCAGAGCTATCTCTAAAATTGGGTGGAAGCCGCCAACACTGGCAGTTAGCCTGGAGTGCTTCAATTAGTGCTCACAGTTCTTTGAAAGAAATGTTTTAGTAAGATACATGTTTAAATAAAAAACTGAATTCATGAACCCATATTATAGATTTTCACAGTTTATCAGCACAGTTAATGAAAGTAAAACTCTTTCAATGTTTTTAACTATAGCTTGTCAGAAGATAGCCTTTAGTTGAATGTTTATATAAAATGAAATTGGTGGAAAACTTTTTTCCTAAATTTGGAAATGAAGCAAATTTAAACTCCATAATCTAAATTCTTCTGTGTCATGTTAATAAAACTCAGTTCAGTTACTTCTAGGTTATGATATTGGCTTCTTCAGAAATGTGACTTTCCTTTCAGCAGAATTGTTTTACTAGAAATTTGTTCAACACTGCCTGGTACTGCAGTGGCTAAATTTATGTTTGGCCCATGTGATAGAATAAAAACTGGCTTGATTAGAGTAGGATTTAGATCGTGGCATATGGGGGAGGGTAGCATAGTGTAGATGTGAATGTCTGAATCTGGGGTGAGGAAGACAGAAGGAAAAAAAATTCAGAGTACAAAGTTAAAGCAAAGCCTTGATTTTAGTTTAATTTGAGGGAAAAGGCTCATTGGCTAGTGGCTGTGTATCTTATGCCATCAGGAATAAAATGTGTCAGTTGGCTTAGTAGCTGGGTTTTGGAAGATGGCAGTTCCTGCTACTGGAAAGAAGGGGAATTCAGAGTTTTTCATCCATCTTGCTGAAGTTTCCTCTAATGTAATTCTTTGAGGTATCAGCCATGGTGAAATTCTCTAAACATGACCAAAAAATAGGGGGAGTTTGTGTCATGTAGACAAAGGGCAGGAAGATTGTGGGTATATGGCCCTGATTATGGTTGGGACAAAGCAGGGATTTGATTCTGTTCCCAGAAGTGTGTGTTACAGCTGATCAGTGTGTGAGGAGTAACTTCAGTCAAGGACTGTTGAAGAACAAACACATCTATACACCACACCTGCTGCTCATACAGGTTTTGCAATATGCTAAAATTGAAAGAGCTTTTTATTTTCATTTCTAAGGTACATCCAGGTTATGGATTCCTTTCAGAAAACAAAGAATTTGCCAAGTGTTTGGTAAGTTTGTAATGAACCAGAAATTGTTAACCTAGATTTCAGAAAGCAATATCGTGGCATGGCTTTTGTAAATGTGGGTAGTGATAAATTATAGAATTCTAATTGATCCTATCAATTCTTCTTCTTCTTCTTCTTCTTCTTCTTCTTTTTTTTTTTTTTGGTGTGGGGGATCAAAACCAGGGCCTTGTGCATGCAAGGCAAGCACTCCACCAACTGAACTATATCCCCAGACCTCAAATCTTTAAAAACTGTGAAAAATGAAGAGTTTTTATTCCATACCTCAAGTCTTGATTTGAAGAGTAATTATAAAAGTAGAAAAGCTATAAAATAATATTATATCTAATTTATTGTATATTGCATGGTCTTTAAATTTCAGATTTTAAATGTAAATATGTCAGGCAATTTAGTGATACATTAGTGATTTAAATATTACACCATAAATATGGAATATTAAATTAGAAGTAAGATTCTAATTTTTCCCCTTTTATTGCAAATCATAGCATGTAAAATCAAATCTTATTGTTTCCTAGTTTAGGATTTTTTTTTTTTTAAACGAGCTGAATGTTCTCCTAATATCACCATCCTAATTAGATTAATTAACCTGAATTTGCTATTAAAATTGCTTTCCAGGAGTATTTATCAGTAGGTTTTAGGCACAACATATGATTTTGATTAATGTTTGTTAATTTTTTGGTGATTAGAGAAATTATGCCATATGTTACATTGTCTTCATGCTAATATGGTAAGACTTTTTTTCCCCCTTTGGAAATTTGCATTTTGTTCTATAGATTCAAAATTATTTAAAATCATTTTCTAGATGAAATTTCCATGTAAAAATCTGTAAATTTACCTTGGAAAAGTCCTTAATATCATAGAGTCCTACCTTAGAATTATCTATTTTAACTAGTTTTACAGATTAAAAACTAAGGTCTAAATATATACCTGGAGAGGAAAAGTTTGATGGAAGTATTTAAAGGTCTACATTTACCAGATTTGATCTAGCATATTCCAGTTTTTCTTGTGTAAATCTCTTTTTCTTTTTCTCTTCTTTGGAATTTTGAGTGTTATAAAAATGATTTGAGTATAATGCTTATGTTTAAATGTTCATGGATAATATAATACATTAAATTTGTTTAGATGAAGTGTTAGCAAACTATAATTCATGGGACAAATACAGCTGCCCTTTGTAAATAAAATTTATTAAAACACAACTAAGCCCTTTGTAAATAAAATTTATTAAAACACAACTATGTGCATTGTCTGTGGCTGCTTTTTGCCCAATAACAGCAGAGTTGAGTAATTGTGACAGAGATTGGCTTGACGAGCCTATCTTATAGATCCTTATGAAGTTTAGCCTCTCGGCTTGGGAGGCTGAGGCAAGTGGATCATGAGTTCAAAGCCAGCCTCAGCAAAAGCGAGGCACTAAGCAACTCAGTGAGACTCTGTTTCTAAATAAAATACAAAATAGGGCTGGAGATGTAGCTCAGTGGTCCAGTGCCCCTGAGTTCATCCCCTGGCACCCCAAAAATAAATAAATAAATAAATAAATAAATAAATAAATAAATAAATAAATAAATAAATTAGCAACTCCTAATAGAGAGGTTAAGTGAAACGACCATATTCAGTCATATATTTAGGCAATCATTAAAAAGTGTTTATTTGGCATTTATGTCTAGGATATTTGATAAGGATATGAAAATAATTCAGATATGAGTTTGGATTCCAGAACTCATGTTGCAGAAAATAAGTCAGCAAGTGATTTCAATCCAGGGAAGAGAAGAGATCAAATTCTCTATAAATGAAGACAAGAAAAATTATTTCTAGCCTGTCATGGTGGCACATGCATGAAATCTCAGCTGCTTGGGAGGCTAAAGCAAGGGCTTTTTGAGTTTGAAACCAGCTGGGCAACTTAGTGAGTCTCTCTCTCTCTCTCTCTCTCTCTCTCACACACACACACACACACACACACACATACACACACACACACAGAGGTGAGGGATATAGCTCAGTGGTAGAGCACCCCTGGGATTAACCTCTAGTACTGGAAGGAAAAAAAGTCCTTTTAAAAAAAATTTTTTTTGAAAATTTTTATTTACAGATGGACACAATACCTTTATTTCATTTATTTATGTGGTACTGAGGATCCAACCCAGTGCCCTATGCATGGGAGGCAAGTGCTCTACCACTGAGCTACAACACAATATAAAATCTTTGGATTTTATGTCCCAATCCAAATATGGCTGGCTCTTTCTTGTCACATGCTTTCTTCACTATCCTCAGTGGCATGCCTGCCACATTTCCTACTCTCATTCCTTAAAGGCTCAGCTCCTTTGTTACCTTTACTGGGAGAGCTTTCTTCATCCTTCTGGAGAGATGTAATATTTTTCCTATGTCTTCTAGAGCACTTTAAAAAATTTTGGAAGTTCATATTTGGAGTACTGCTCTCCATATTATGTTAAACTTGTTTCTGTTATTTAATCTCTTATTGAAAAAAGAACCTTGATTTCATTAGTCTCCCCCACCCCTCGCCCGTGTCATCTATCCTAAAGATTTCTACAAAGTAAGATCAATAAATGTTTATGGAGGATTAAATAGTATTAATAAAAATTACAAGACATTCAGCCTGTAAGAGAACTTTCTCCTATCATCAAAAAGACTGTTTTGTAACTAGAAGGCAGTATTGCTGTCTGTTTTTATTCCCTATGAAAATATGTGGCTTGTAGTCCCTCTTCTTTCCTCTGTGCAGAAGGGCAGATTCTTGTTTGTGACATAGTTTCCTTAGTGTTAAATATTTTCCCATCAGAGTATACCATTTAAGATTTTCCTTTTAAAATGTCTGATTCTAGGTGGTAAGTTCCATAAAAATAACAATGAAATAAAATTGCTTAAAGATTCTGTCATGCACATAAATGTTATTTCTGTGATTGGTGGCCAAATGTGGTAGTTTTTATTCTAACCAGGGTATATTCTTATAAATCTGATTATTTTGAGTGCCATAACATGGATTGCCACATTGATGGTAACTTTTGGTAAGGAAGATTTGCAGAAGATTAAAAGTCTTTCTTTTTTAGTTTGGTATTGTGGAGTTCCTTTATTGTAAATACATGTCATGCTTGAAATTTAATCAAATATGGAAACTTTTCATTAGTTTTTGGTTTTCTTTATTGTCATACAAATAGTGTGATGATTTTTTTTTGCTTATAGAGAATCTATTTGTGCCTTATCATCTGATATGTTTCCACTTAATTATCTGTAAAAATTATTTTTTCTGAATAATTTGCTATATATGTTTGCTTTAAATATGTAACAAACTAAATTCCCCCAAATGTAAACATATACTAAATTTTATAAGACTGATTATTCTTTATGCTCATTTTGCATGAAATGGGATTGGATTACAATCATCCCTCCTGTACATGATTTGAACAAAACCATTTCTTATTGTTTGTTATTGCTTAATTAATTTATTTTAAAAATCTATAAATAGCTCATGAAGAGTAGCAGTTTTCAGAAATTTTAATGTGTTGAGCAAACAGATTACATTTTCAAACTGTTTTCCATTCTGTATTTCTCCTCTGGGCTTTTTAATTCTGAACAGTAAAGGACCAGCAATAGGAGAATGTAAGGATTGTTAGGATTAAGTTCTTTCAGAGATTACAAAAAAGCTTTGAAAAGTAAAACTACCAGCTTCTGGAAAAAAAGGGATGTTGATTTAAAGACATTTTGTACTCTTGCAAGTTCTCTTTCTTTCTGGTTTGTTTGTGTATATATGTATATTTTAATTATATCATGTCATTTTAGTCCCACATAGCAGTATGTTATAGCATTTAGTCTTACAAGACATTTATATGTTAGATTTAATAATTGTGTATTATGTTTGGGTCTTATCCATGTCCATGACTGTGTATACAGACAGTTCTCTTCAGGATGCTTATCACTGAAGGCATAGATGGTAAGTATGGGATGCAGTAGAGGTCTGTGGATTGTATTTTTTCATCTTCTTTCCTTATAGAATTTTTAGCAAAGTAAGGACTGTAGGACTGTAACTGTAACAAAAATAATGAGATACATTAAAAAAAAATTCATTGGATTAGCCAAAATAATTTTGAAGAGCTTTGACATCTAGTGTAGGCAAGGGTAAAAGAAAGTGGTTTTGTTCTTGGAAGTGTAAATTATTTCAGCCCTTCTCCTCGTCCCTGGCATTTGCTAGTATCTATAAAAATCTAAAACATATAAACATGTATTCACATAAAACATATATTATTTGACTCAGCAATTCCAGTCATAAGAATCTCATCTGCAAAGATATAATTGAAAAAAATGTTTGTTGTGAGGTCTTTTGTAATAGCAAAATTTGGAAATAGCTCAAAAATTTTTCATCTGGAAAATGAAGAGAATGACAGCTTCCCTGCAGGGTTGTTGTAAAGATTAGAAGCAACAAATATAAAGAACCTAACATGAAGGCTAGCATTGCCAGGCAAATCACCTTCATCATTACAGACGGGAATAATATTACTTCAGTTGGTGGGGGGGCTACTAAAGAGTTTTCAGGGGGAATGAAACAGTTAAAATTAGTGTTTTTGGGAAATTCATCTAATAGTTTTCATGTGTGTTTTGGAATTTAGGTTTCTTCTTGTTGAGATGAATGATTTGGTACAGCACTACTGCTTTATACAGAAGGATGGCTCTGTAGTTTAGACATGAATGATCTCATTTAATTCACTCAAACATTGAAGTTGGACACTATTCACTCTAACAAAAAGAAAACAGATTCAGGTACAGCAACTGGTTAACAATCACACGATGCTGGTTAGCAACAGAATCATGACATCACTGTAGTCTTAAGTACAGAGTTCAAGAAAAGAAAAATAAAAAAATAAAAATACAACAAACAAACTATACCTACCTGGCTCAGTTGGAAAGAATGAAAGCAGTGAAATAGCCCAAGTGTTAAGAACAAATCACTAAAGAACTTAGTGAAAGCCAGTAGACACCCCTCC